GTATGGACAACTTAGCGGTATGGTTGAACCTATCTTTGGTGTCCTAGGAGCTTTTGCTGTTGGTTTAGCAGAACCTGCGCTACCATATGCGCTTGCTTTTGCAGCAGGTGCTATGATCTACGTTGTCGTAGACGACATCATTCCAGAGGCTAACACAGAGTAAGTAAATAATTCGTCCTACTAAACATTACTTTAATCATTAACCCCCATTATATCAGCCTCAAGTACTGTATAACCTTTCCTATTATTCTTCATTAAATAAGTTCCATGGTCTTGTTTAACATCTTCTAGGTTTTTTGCTGCTTAAGAAGGATTTTTAAGAACTCCTTTGACAAACTCAACTCGTTTTCAACAATTCAATAATCTGGACTCTTCTAAATCAAATCTAGTAACTTTATTTGACTCTATCATTGTTAAAAGGGTAATCTTTAGTCTATAGCAACTATTTGTATTATCTGCATCATCGTCCATCGTTGTCAGTCATCACCATAATCATCGCATGTCTCACCATATACTTAGATCACTGATTTCTGTTGCAGAGGTAACGGCAAGCTGGCTACTTGGGGAGCCATTATTGGATTTTTAGTTATGATGACTTTAGACGTAGGACTTGGATAACACATCGAGCACTGTCTAGATAAAATTCTTAGTTAGTCTATATTCAATTGGTATTTTATTAAGTCGACAATTTTATGCAAAAACGTCAAGATGATTAACGATTTTGGTATCGATCAAAATATTAAAGTACGCGTACTGCAAGGCATGTCCATATAGTTCGTAGGTATATGATATCTATGTATATCTAAAGATGTTATTTAATACAGCTTTTCTTACAAATATTGGGAAATATTTCGAAAGTCATTCCAATTGAAAGCATTTATATATTGACTAATAATTTCCAAACTACTTTTTATTATCAGCAGTGTTAAGTAATATTTGATGGTTCAAATTTTGCTTTGATATTCCTTTAATTTTCCCAATATTTTTGGGATGTGCTGTATAATTATTTTGTAAAGTTATTTTGCAAATGTGAAAAAAATATTTTATAGTATACATCAAATTATATTTATAATTTTATATATAAATACTTACCAAGGTTTAAATTATTTTAAATAATGTTGATTTATATCAAGAATGATTTGTTGTCTAAAGATATTTAGAGAAATATTTTTATTAAATATTGATAGCTACGCAAGGTATTTACAATACTATAATTTCTTAATATTTCAATACCCATGTGAATGTCATTCGTATATTTCAGAATTAAACTAAATAGTTAAATGGATTACTTGATAATTTCATAAAATTAACAGATTATTTCAGTTGATTCAGTAAATGTTTAAACATGAAATTTTTAAAAAGGTTACTAAAAAACAGTTTCTATACAGTGTTTAAGAAATGAACTTTAAACTCACCCGTACATTTTATAATTATTAAAGGATAATAATGTGTATATAAGTAGGTAGTTACTTAAAATATGACAATAAAGAAAAAAGTTATGATACCAATTCTGGAAGTAAGAATTATTTTTATTTCGTTTGTTCTTCTAACAATGTTTTTGGCAAAATCTGATAAGGATGTCCTATTTGAATATTTAAAGTGTTAAAACTAATGGAAAGTATTTCCTAAGAAATAAAATTTATGTGTTAAAGGGACCCTTCACGCTACGATTTTTGTGAGATTTGAACTTCACAGTCCATCGATTCAGCCCAAAACTCAAAGTGAAGTGCTCGATCTGATCCATAACTGGCCTATCCTCTTTTGTCTAATGTGAAGATGAAGAGTGAAATGAGCTGATTAATTCTTGCCTTTAGATCAGAAATGTGCATTTTGGCCTGCAGATTATATCGAAGTGAAGGGCTCCCTTTACTTAATAACTCATATAACGTCGCCTTAATACAGAACTATTGTATGTCACAAAATGTGAATTTTTCAGAACAATTTTTTGCCTTCAGAAATAAATAAAATTTTTGTGTTTTACAATATCATCACGAAGCGGTAAAAAAAAAACCACTGCAGATGGAGTTACAATAGTTCTCTATGAGTTAGCTTTATTTGGTATTAAATCGAAAATTAGCATTTGTTGGATATACAATAGTTCTACATTAAGGCGACGATAAATATTGTAAATTTATTATTTTGCTTATGTACGTAATTTAAATTCTTGGTGTCTATTTTATTTATTGTTATTGAGTACAGTAAAGTAGTTGAGTTCAAAAAAGGCTTTTACAGAGGCGGTCGAAAAATGAAACCTAATAAAACTTTGATTTTAAATAGTACCCAAATTTACTCCTGTGAAATCGGGACTGCAACAGCTTTGTCTTGCGTAAAAAAATAAACTTGTTTGTTATGTTATATAAATCTATTTAGACAACTTTTTTTCGTCTGACCTATAAATAGGTATAACAGAAGGGTAGATTATAAATTAAACTAGATATTCTGGAGTCAAAAATTACTTATAAAACAAAAAAATTATAGACTTTTGAAGTTTCAAATTAAAAGTCTCGGAAATAATTTTTCATGAAAATATACATGTGATCTTATTAAAGTAAGGACAACTTAACAAGAAAAAACACAAAAACAGTGCATACCATAAAATGTTAAGGGGCTTGTAAATTATAACGTGTAACCCCCTAGAACCGTAAGTTATTCTTGCGCCACCATTGGTTTAAAACTTTTATTTTGAAACTTTTAATACTCTTTTAATTAAGGTAACATTTTCGATATGTAGTCACAAAAAATTGGCGCATACATAAGTTAAGTTAATTATTTTTTATCAAAAATAAATACTTAGATTTTTAAAAATTAAATAATCTAGGTACAAAAATATGTGTTTCACAAATTTTTTAAATTATGTTCGTAACTTTAACAGGATATAACTTTTTTGCTTACTCTTTGTCTATCCGATCAACGTTTTTGCACCCTTTATAATATAGGTATAGTTTCATAAACGCTATAAATAGTGCTTTTTTTGTTATTGTCGCCTCAGAGTTGTTTATTTAGTTTTTATAATAACAATTTATTTAAAAAAAAAAAAATTGAATTTTAAATAAATATTGGGTAATTAAAAGGTTTAAAATATTAAAAAATTATATGATCTCTATTCACCGTCAAACCGCCTCTTTCTCTATACAGGGTGGCTCATTTATACCATCTTTACGATCTCCGAATTGAATTGAGTTATAATAGTAATATATACATATCAAATTTGATTTATATCTGAATCAATTGGGATATGAAAGTACGAAATGAAAGAACTTAAACGAATCGCCCTGTATATTTTGATATATCGTATGTAATTATTATTTCCTATAGTAAGACCAGGAATTCTTCCTAAAAACGGAAGTACTTATTTTTATACAAATACCAAGTATTAGGTATAACCTGTTAAATACATTTACCTGTAATATTTTATCGATAAAAATAGCTTTCGAGTGAGTGTCAATTAGAATTGTAAGATAATTGCGGTAGATATACGATATTGTATTTTAGATTTTTGTAAAGTTACAGGTAAAATGTCCCCACGTACTAACTAACCTCTTAGTAACTTAAAAAACCAACTACTGCTGTGATAGCAAACTTAATTGTAAGTTTATAATAAATTTTTATGCATATTTATTGATGTTTTATTATACCAAAATAAAAATGTAACAGTTTAAAGTTAACTGTTGCCATATATTCTATAATAGATTACGAAATTACAAGAAATCAAGATAATTATTAGGCATTTATAAAATTAAAAACTAAAAAGTTTTCATCACGACTTTTAGACTGCACCTCGTATAATGCTAATTCTGACAAGTTTAAAAATAACCAGATTTAGTGAGACAGTACTACCACACGCAAATTAGGAATTTTAAAAAAGTAAATATATAAAATATCTACAACATGAATTTTAAAATAAGTTTTGAGTTAATAAGAGATAAATTATTATCATTAAAAGTGTACAATAAACCGTTCAAATAAATACAATAACTAAATTTTAATAATATAACCAAACTGTCAAAAATTTTGATTGGCAGGTTCATTTTCTTCCATCTAGATTGAAATCTTAAAAATTGGAGTTTGTTGATGAAACAAAAGGCAGTATTAAAAAAGATGGTAAAGGGGATGTGTTTTTTTCGATTTCCTTCCTTTTACCTAATTAAATCCTAAAATATAAAGAAACAGGAAAATTAAATCATGTATATTTGTATGTGAAAATTCTATGAGATAAAATTATGTTATGTATAATAAAAATGTTTACTCACCGTTGGAAAGTATGTGAATCCGACATGAAGGTCGGCATACATTTCGTTGCTTCTCCAGGTGCCTTCTGTGTTCATGATTTATACACTGTTTGAAAAAAATATGCGTTAGACAACAGGACTTTCATTCTTTCAGTGAAATAAAGGTATTTAATTTACAAACTAACACTATAGTGACAAATTATAGAAGTTACTCACCTATAATTATTAATACATAAACTTTCAAATAGAAAGCAAAACATCACAAAAGCACAATTATTCATTCGGACAGATAAATCTTCCACAAGTGCTAACGTACAGTCTATAGTGATGAATTCGCTGCGCTATCTAATATGCCTAAGAAGTTGCATTATTTCATAGTTGTAGTTATCTTTAATGTGTTAAAGTGCGTACGAATGCACCATTTTTAATCCATTATTTCCATTTATAGATATATTTTTCCTCGTTGTTTCATAAATATGAAACCAATTTTATAATTTTAGTTATGCTGTTTCTTTCATAATTTTTAAATATTACTCTAGAGAGCTTTTTGGGACCTAAATTTAACCCTGAGAGCCCATATACTTAGAAATAAAACTATAATTACAGATGGGGTCTCTGATCTTTTATTTGGTTATTTTTTTTAAGGGAGTTAACAGTATACGAGGGATATGGGTAAGTGTCTGAATACTTTTTGATGAAATCTTTCTTTAATTTATTTAAAAATATGATTTCTGTTAAATTTGTGGTATGTGCTATAATGGGAAGTTATAATTAAAACATATACAAAATTTTAAATTAGAATTAATCACCACCATTATATTACAATACGTGACTATTGTAGAACTAGTTCCAGGTATATCTCATAGTAAGGAAGGAACTATCGCTGTTACCACTGTAGCAAATAGCTGAATAAAAGAGCTTCTACATTCACATCTTCAAAAGGGCTACCGCCATCTCCTTATATATATGCTAGTTAAGGTTACTAACGGGTGTGTATTAGTAAGGGAATATCAGCTATCACAAGATAGATTAAGGGGTTATAGAAAAAATCCTTCCTAGTAAATACCTGCTATATCAAATTTTGAAGTAATTAAAGCGACCTAAGACACACTGGTTAGAGTCAATGCATGTCCTGACAAAAAAGTTGCAAATTAACATTTGGAATATTCATGTTTTGGCTGAGTATAAATAAAACTGCACTACAGGTCTAGCGGTGCAATAAAAATATTGGTGTAATTTTCTACAAAAGTACTTTTCCACTAACATTCTCCATTTTTGCTATGATATTACTCGGCTCTGCTAGTTCTTAATTTCTATTTTCTTAAATCCTTCTGCTTCCAATCTTTAATTTTAACCGTCTCGTCTCCTATCTATCTTTCTGATAATTCTAATCTCCTCGTCTGGTTTATGAGTTTTTCTTGTTAATTTTGTTTCGGAGATTCCATGCACCAGCGCTTGCCGCTATGTAATGATTTCCTGAACCTGGAAAATTCTGAGGAGAGACTGTGACATAATTTTCTCCATCAAATATTTTTGACTTTTCTAAAAGCGTAACCATTCTCTCTCCGGTGAGCCTTACAGGCTTTCCAGTTCACTAACTTTTTATTGAGGTCGAAAAGTTTACGAATTTATGGCCTTTTCTTGTTATCCTGTTTCCACCACAAAGTGTGTTGGACATCTTTTCTAATTTTTAC